TATGGAGAGACTTCTAAATGATGTTAAATGGCTTTTAAAACAGTCCCTGGTCTCTGAGAAGTTATAGCAGCAGCCCTCATTTTGTGGGAACCACATAATCAGCATGTTAATTTCAGCTGTATTCGCTGAATATTATATAATTATAATATTAGCATTGGCCAAAGGTGAGAGGATATCTGTAGACACAGATTTGTCAGCTTCTAAGAGAGTATTTTAAAAAATGAAGAGAATGTTGAGGTACAGAGAGGAATAAACCTGAAATATTGCTTGACAGTTAATTCTGAAGCATACTGACAGAGAATGTCCCTGCAATCATTTCCAAATCAGCATTAACTAGTTCAGAGGAAGCCATGCCCACCCCATCTCCACTGGAGGAAAGGTAGCTTTTGTGGGTCTTTGAGGGAAGATGGAAGAAAAGAGGGTGGGAATGGGAGTCGATTGCTATTCTAAAAGCTTGTAAAAAAGTCTTACTTAAAGGGCATTGTCAAATTTAGGTCAAAATAGGCACCCATCTTGAAATTATTATTTGATGAGGAAAGTCGTCCTGATTCTAAATATACCTCTACCTCGATATAACGCTGTCCTCGGGAGCCAAAAAATCTTACCGCGTTATAGGTGAAACCACGTTATATCAAACTTGTTTTGATCCACCAGAGTGCGCAGCCTCACCCTCCCGGAGCACTGCTTTACCGCATTCTATTCGAATTCGTGTTATATCGGGTTGCGTTATATCGAGGTAGCGGTGTATTTTAGAGGCTTTGGGTCTTGTTTGGTGTACTTTTGAAGGTTGCCTCTTATCACTGAGCAATTAAAAAATTAACAATGGCATCTATTTTATTTATCTATCCCACAAAAAAGTTTTGTGCTCCTTCTGCTTGTGTAGTTAATTGAAATACAAGTGCCACCACTGTGCTACTATCAGTTGAAGCTGTGCACCAAGTCATTTTTGGCATAAGACACTGTTTTAAGTTGAAGCTGAATGTTAATTATAGTCACATAAAAGCGTCACATCTAAGTAGTGTACAGCAAAAGTGCCCTTCAGAAATCTTTGTACGTTCTTGCCTTTAGGGTAAATCATCTGTTGTAGAATAGCAGGGGTAGCCCCTTGTCAAAAAGCAAATGGCTCCACTGTATTGCACAGAGAATACATTTTGAACATGCTAGCCAGCTTTTACTTTTGTATCATTCTGTAGTGTTAATGGCCTTGTTTACATTATGGTGTTTCATATCTTTTGTCATAAGCCTCTAAAAAGGTCTATTTCTATTTCAGTACATCTCTGGCGGTATGAGGGAGGCTATCCAGCTCTTACTGAGGTCATGAATAAGCTCCGACAAAATAAAGTAAGTCTAAATGAAGACTACATTTTAAACTTGGGCTAGAAATAATAAATATTTTACTGAGAAATATTTTTCCCAGTGTCCCTAGAGAACATAGTCTAGTAGTCAGAGCAAAAGACTAGAAGTTTAGACTCCTACAGTCTATTTCCAGCTCTGTCAGACTAGCTGTGTGACCTTGGACAAGTCACTTCCTCTTTCCGTGCCTCATTGGACCTGTCTGTAAAATGGGGATCACACACACCTCTCGAGTGCTGAGGTGGATGCATTAATGTTTATATAACATTTTGAGTTCCATAGGTGTAAAACATTGTAGAAGTGCGAAGTGGTGTTAGTAATTTATATTCTGCTGTTATGAATGGTCTGTGATTCTCAGCTCTTTTGTCAGAGCCTATTTGCTAGCGGGGCATGCCCCCACCACCATGTCCCCTCACATAATGCTTCTCCTTTACTTGGTTCTCTTGTCCTGTCTTGTTTTTTTTTTTTCCCCTCCTGTCTTATTCTCATTATGCTCTTTTACATGATTTTTGCAGATACTCTTCCTCTCCCCTCCCCATTTTCCCACTTATTTGAAGGTCACATGCTGGGGGCTGGAGGTGTCTGTTGGAGCCCAGGCTATACTTATTACAATGGGAGCAAAAAAGTGAAGCTTGAGCTGGCAGGTTGCTGTGTGAGCCTTCAGCATTGTACATGTGAGCTGCTGCCACAGCCAGTGACCGTAGGTGCTGTGCGGAAGCATGGAAGAATGTCCACTAGCTTTTAATGAGCTACCTGCTTCTTTACATGCAAATGCACCAGCATGTTTGCTGTATATGGGGATGGTGTAGATCTGGAGTCCTACATCTTTCCTCACCCACCCTGATCCTCTCCTCTGCCCCACACACCTACTTTAACTAATCTGGCACCAGCCCAGGTTGAAAAAACAATGAATTACGTTCTTCAGGATACTGTCAGTGGCCATTCAGAACACACATAATCTAATTGTCAGTTAAAACATTATTGCCATGAATCCACTCAGTACAGCCTGTGTAGAAAATCGCTCCTCTGGATTTTACTTACCTAGCTTGGCATTATTAAAACAGCTCACACCCAAACTGCCCAGTACAAAAATTGTTAATAGAGACTGTGATGTGTAAACACACTGATGGATACTTTCAAAGCTGCGTAAGGAATTTGGATATTATTAAATTCAATGGGAACGGAGTGTACAGATCCCCAAGGTGGTTTTGAAAATCTCAGCCACTGTGTTCTATAGAAGAGTAGAATTTGTTAATGTAACATATTAAATCTTGATGATGACTATTATTTTTAAGGAATTCACGGAGTTTCGCAAAGAAAGGGGTAACATGCTTCTCTCTCGCAAGAACCAGCTTCTGTTGGAGTTTAGTTTCTGGAATGAACCTGTTCCCAGGGAGGGTCCTAATATTTATGAACTGAGATCTTATCAACTTAGAGTAAGTGTCAAATATTTTTTCTTTTTTAAATGATTAAAAATTGAAAATATTCAGCACACGTGTACAATAAAACACAGACCTTCTAAAAATAAACTAAGGATCTAGTCTTATTCCTATTGAAGTCAATGGCAAAAGTGTTACTGGCTTCAGTGTGTGCAGAATCCGGCTATAAAGACTGGATCCTACAAGGTGCTGGCCACTTCCTGAGACGTCCTGAGCACCCTTGCCTCTCATTGAAATGCGCGCACACTCATGCAAGAGACTGAAAGAAAATATAATAACTGTACAGTGTAATTACAAATTAATATACAGTCATAACTTTAAGCACTTAAAGGAATCAATGTATTTGATAAATGATGGTATTTTTCAAATGGAAATGCTGTGAGAATGGAAGCCTGTGTAATATTGATGACTGAATTCTCAATGTTCTGTTCTCCTAACATGAACGTGCAAGATGAAGTAGCTCAAAAAAGCATCGCTGACATTTGTGGCTATGTCAATATCTTGTTTAAAACCATTTTAGTTCCCCTTTGTCATTAGTGCACCATAAGCACTACAATAATACAAGTAATTGATGATGATGATAATGGATCTCAATGGCTCTTGGCTCATGCCATCGTATTTTTTATTTTTTCCTCATTTTTATTTTTTAAAAAAACACCTTTCAGATTAGTGAAAATTAAACAGTGCTCAGTTTGGCAGAAAAGACATGCTAAAAATATATTATTGTTGGAAGCACTATTAAAAACCTGTAATAATGCCAGCAGGCAGTAGTGGGGATTTGAGCAGCTGGCATAAGCCTGAACAATTATATTCTAAAAATATTTGAAAAGTTAAATCTCAGTTTCTTACCTTTTACATTTAAGGACCCTGCAGAGGCAGCATGCACAGCCTCTCAGGGGAAAGAAGTGCCTTCTGTCACTCAAGGAACTCCTTCAGTTGGTTAATGTGGCATGTTAACAGACTCAGAATGGGAACCCTATAAATCTTAACTTGGTCAGAAGATTGATGGTCATAACATGGTGCTTAGATCAAGCAGCAGGCATATCACTGACAGTTTGTGAAATATGGAAGGAAGACCCTCTTCCCTCCCCTCCCCTTTATATTTTTGCTTCATATAACTTCACATTTGTCAGATCCATTTTCAAAAATATTGAGAACTGTCCCAGTGCTCTAGTTTTCTTAAAATACTAGACCTGAAACTTCTTTCTTCTTCTTTCAGCCTGGAACAATGATTGAATGGGGCAACTACTGGTAAGTGTATTTCACCATGTGTGCTGTAATTTAAGTTTATTAATTACATTTCGTAGTTTAAAACCATGTAGGTGGAGATGGTAGAATAATCCCCACACCCTTCCAGATACACAGAGCTAATAAGCTGATTCTGGTCCTACACAACTCTGACAAATTAGTTTTTATTTTGCCTTTCTGGGAAGGAAAGGGAGTGCCTCCCTGAACAATGCTGGGACCTCTCTTGTGCGTTGTCATTTTAAAAGCCATCATTCTTTTGAGAAGTAAATAATACTTAACACTTCTATCACATTTTTCATCCTTAAAGCATTTAAATTTTAATCTTCACAACAACTGTGTGAGGAAGGGAAGTATTATCCTAATTTTACTATTGAAGATTCTGAGGCACAGATTGGGGAAGGAATTTTCCCAAGGACACATAGCGAGCGGATGTCAGAGCCAAGATTAAAACTAGATTATTTTGCTTGCTGTCCTATGTTCAGTCTACTTTCCCAATCAGGCTCCTCACGGACAGCACCAATATTACTGACTTGGTGCCTGATCCTCCTACATTGAAGTTAATAGGAATTTTGCTGTTGATTTTGGTAAGAGCAGGCTCAGCCTCTTGGCAAGAGTAGACATCTGCAGAAGGGACACCATCACCTTTCTAATACACCTGGGCACTACTGGCACAGCTACAAAATAAACTACCGTCCTCTACCACTAAGAATCTCACCTATTCTCACTTGTACATCTCTACCGGCTAAACTCTTGCCCGTCCTGCTCACGTTTGTCCATAGTAGTGTGATCAAAACAAATAAATACCTTTACACAAAGAGACTGTTTCCCAGTTTTCCATATGTCTGTTTCCTAAGAACTTCTTTCAGAACACCTGAAATTTCCCAGTTTTTTACTTCATCTATCAACATTTTCAGGTTTCTTATCATTACAAAATATACTGCTATAAGATATTTGGTATGTCCCTGCTTCGTCCTTCCCACAGTGAGTGTGTGTAACACGCCAACAGTTGTTCAAAACCAAAGCTTTTATAACTTGTCTTGTGCCAAAGTTGCAGTAATAAGGCCAATGACCCAGCCTAATTAGTGCAAAACCTCTGCTCTGACCCCTCAAGAAATGGGGGGCGGGAGGGGGGAGGGTTTGATGGTCTCGCTGTTGTTTCCCTTTTCTCTAAAATTGCCAGACCCACATGGAGGAGGGAAAATAGGTATGGAGGAACACGGGGGGTGGAGAGAGGCAGAGCCTTCCTTTGGTTTTTCTGTTGCTCCAGATGGAATTCTTCTAGCTCAGGTGGAACAGATCAAAGAAAGGCGCCAAAAGGCAGAGGACTTGAGTCTTCGATCAGAAAAAAGTTACTGCAAAAACACGCTTGTTTTTTAATTTGAAAATATGGTCACCTCACTCCTAACCCATTGGCCAATTCCCCAAAGGTAGCATCCTTATGGTTTGACTAGTACACAATACAAGACATTGGCAGTGGTTAGGTGGTGGTAGTTTTAATTTACAAGGAAAGATTTTTTTCTGTTCCCAAAAAATTAAAGAGTCTCAAGATTCTAATAATTTATGTGTGTTGCTGCTTCTGGAAGTCATGCATTTGAAGGATTGTCACTAGAAATAGCATACTCCTCCCCCCACCCCCGCCCCGTGAGAGGCCTCTGTAGATTCAATTTAATTGGAATTAAATGTTGTCTCGGATCTTTCATTTTGCTTTGTAACCTAGAGCCAACTTCTATGGGTAGAGGGTTCCCAAACTGAGGAGTGCATGCTAGAGTCTTCCACGAGCCGTGCTTCCTATGGGACAGGGGCAGCCGAGGAAGCAGTGGAAAGTGCTTGGCTTCAGCAGGTTTTGGATACTGAATTACTTGCTAGTTTTATTAGGAACAAATCCTCCCCTCTCTCACTGGGTGTTTTCTGTTCCCTATGCTGGGTGTACCCAACTAAGACCAGATGTCCCGACTGCCTTCTGAGCAATGCAGTACTGTATTGCAGAATTCATGGCAATGCATGTTTTCTCTAGAAAGTACTGCCCTTTGAAACTCAGAGGGTTAACTACTTAACACTATGTTGATCATTCTTGGCTTCCTCAGCATCAAAGTTAGATAAAATTTTTATAATACCAAACCTTAGATTTTTATCTTTTTAAAATAAAACTCATTTTAAAATCCTACTGAGTATCACGTTTATATTTTTATATATAGGTAAAAGTGTTTGTCTCCTCTTCAGTACATACTCCTGCTTTTTATCTTGTTTAATACCAGTATAAGTTCCTTGCATCTACACTAGCTAAATCCAATCAATTCTAATGAATTACGGTTGCATGATTGTGAGTATTTACAGTTGTTTTGAATAAGAATGAAGACTCGAGTTTTCAAACAGCATAATGTGCATCAAGATAATTGGTTTAATTTCAATAATTTGCCAGTAAATTTGGTTTCCTACTATTATTGGGGAGGTACACATTCAAATACATTTGTCGGTTGGCAACAGATCCACTTTAGAAAATGTAGCAGCTTCTAGTTGAGTTAAAAGTTTAAAATTAGGCTTGCGGCATCATGAGAGGCAACTGCCTAGGAAAGATGCATGTGTACAAGAACTTTGCATTCCAGTAACTTAAAATCCATGTGTGTAAGTGTGAAAGACGACATTCACAAATAGCATATCTTCCTGATATGACTAACGCTCAAAAGTAGTATAAAGTTGGCAGGTAGGAGGATTCCGTTTTTGATAAACCTTTAGAAATTTCTTGCCATTTTAAACCATAACAATGATTATCCTACTGGCTCCAAAATTAAAAAGTTGAAGACTAGAAAATGATAAGCATGCAATCTAATAAAGGGGTGTCTCCAAGTTTAATGTGGCTTAACAAGTTCTATTTTAATTGCTTGTTGCTGGGAATTGGGTTGTATTTTTGTTTTTTACATCTGGAATCTGCTGCAAAATGCTTTAACATTTGAGATGGGGTTAATTCTAACTCTGCTTTCCTTCCAATCACCACTTGTTTCCTGTGCTCATCTACTGTTTCTAGAGGTTCCATTTGTCTCTTGTAGGGCTCGTGCTATTCGTTTCCGACAGGACAATAATGAAGCAGTTGGAGGATTTTTCTCACAAATCGGACAGTTGTATATGGTTCATCATCTTTGGGGTAGGCTTCTTTGTTTTCTGCTACACTCACTCACTCTATCACTATACTCAATAGGTCCTTAAAACAAGGACCTATTCTGTTCAGAATAACGAGATGTGGAATAGAGAGAGAACCATGTGAATTGCATTTTGATATCAACAAGGGTTTTTAAATTTTATTTTGCAGTTTTAGTTGCCAAAGTAAAAGCACAAAATAAACATATCCTTGTCCTTTTGTAATTTCTGTCAGAAGTTACAGTAAAGCATCACAAACCTTTCTTATCAGAGTCTTACTGTTTGCTTCAAGTAAAGTGAACATAATGAGTTCAGTCCTGCAGTTTCTTCCCTCGGGCCAAATTCACACTGAAATTAGTAATTGAAGATTTAATTTCTAAGGGTCAAATCATACCCTCCTAGAGGGAGGGAAAAGTCAAGTATCTCTTCTGGTTACCACTGTCTGCTCCCCTCACAGCAGAGAGAGTCGAACATTTATTTATTTATTTGCAGAGGCACCCACTGTGTGCTAGGTGGTTTCCAGACAGTTCAGGAGGACAGGCCTCTTCAGAGAAGCTCACAATCTAACAACTGCATTGAGGAAACATGCGCTGCAGCCTTCAGACCTCAAGGATATCCACAGGAAATTGGATTCCAACACCATGGATCCTAGAGCACCCATGCAGAGATCCAGCCCCTGTGTGCTGCATTATCTGTCTAATCTATTTCTAATGCAGCTATAATTATGGTATTAAGGCCCCCTCAATGCCCTTTCTGCCTCTGGCATCCCTTGCCACACTTGCACCTTACTTCCATTTGAAAGGGGAAAGTCAGCATGGGGGTGGAGCTTAATGTTCCAATGACCTACAGTGACTTCTAGCAATACTTACGGCTAGTTGCCAGGGTTAAATGTCAGGCAGAGCAGCAAAACCCAGGGAGCACCAGCCATGTTATAGTCACATGGAATGGCTTCCATATATGCTGTAGACCTACTTTTTTGCTCTCTCTGCCTTCCCCCTTTCCACTGGTCTTGGAGCTTTTCCTTTGTATAAAGAGGAGCATCTGAAGCGTAATTTTTTTTTTCTTTTTCTTCCAAATGACTGCAGCCTCTTAACCACAGAATTAAATATTTTAAAGCGTGATAGTTATGGACAGCAGGACATTGACTTAGTACTAAATTTTGCGTGTGTATTTTTTCCTCTAGCTTACAAAGACCTCCAGTCCAGAGAAGATACAAGAAATTCTGCATGGAATAAACATGGCTGGGATGAACTAGTATATTATACAGGTAAGAGCTGAACTAAATTAGAATGGGCCATGGAGTAAACATTATTTTTTTTTTGTAATGGACAGAGATGCCACCATGATTATTTCAGTAAGTTACACTGTCATAAATGTTTTATTTTGCTGGTATGTTCGTCAATTACAAAGTCAGTTGTTTAAATAATCTGTTTTCAGTTTTTGTAAATGTCAGCAAATTGATGTAGTTGCTGTATAAATGTTTGTATTAAAACACGTTTGTACTAAAGAACATCTACTAAAGGAATAGATCTGTTCAAAGATTTAATTTTCTGTGCACAAAAACTTATACAGTAAATAGTTAAATAGATCTTTAAAAGAATCCATTAGATTTTCTTTGTAACAAGCTATAATGTGAAACATTGGGGCCCTTTGAAATAAATTCCTCTAAAGAGGGAAAGTAGACTTTGGAGCCAAGATCCAGGAGACCTTTGATATCAGAAACAGCTTTCATAACAAATCTGGCATGTAAGCTATGCTAAATATTTCAAATGTCGTTCCATCAGATTACAATGGAAATATTACAGTACAATTGCAAGCTATCCTTAAATCTTGCTGAAAAGCAACAGGTGTTTTCTTCGGTGACGGGGAAGGGGTGGTTGGTGATTAGTAAAGATTTGACATGCACTAACGAGTAGAGTAGTTTGATGAACACGGTACTCTAAGTTGAGTATGCAGAATTACTAATGGGATCTTTATTAGTAAATGAGAGCCTGTCTTTTCTTTTTTCAGTGCCACTTATTCAGGAAATGGAGTCCAGAATCATGATACCATTGAAGATCTCTCCACTTCAGTAGTTATTGACTTACCTGTGCCTACATAGGTTGAAGTGACAAATATTTGTCTTAAATTAATTTGATGGTATACATCATATATCATGGTCAAAGAAACATAAAAGTATCATATTGAGCTTGTCAAAGAAACCTTTTTTCTTCAGAATCTAAAGACTTTATGCATTTAGAAATGTACCGGGGAAACAATAATAGGGTTGTAGTTTAAGAACTCAAGACATACCCAGTTCATCTGTGCAACTGGCACCTTGAACTGAGCCTGGCATACAAGTATGTGGTGTGTCCTGATGTCTACTGATGCCCACGCTTCAGTAGCAGCAAAGGGAGAGTTGCACATCTGCCATTTAAAGTCTTGAACTAATGCTGTATTTAAATCCTGGGGAAATTGTTACAGTTCAGGGGGCTTTTGTATAATGGAAAATGTATATTTGTTTTGTAGTCATTACCGATTGAAAAATCAGTGTTGGTTGGTTCCCATAAATAGGAGAGATTTAAACAAAGCTTTGTATCTGAGAAATTCATACCATTATATCAGTTTTATTGGGAATTGAGCCAGTAAATAATTAAGAATTTACAAAGTAGCCAAGAATATTTAAATTCTAACGTGCAGTAGAATTACTGAACTACTCTCACTTGTAAACAAAGTGCAAGTATTAGTGGAAAATGAATTACAAATCAGGTGATAGTTGAATATACAGACAATAGTGGATTCCATTTTGATAAGGCTCTGAAGTAGAAACAAATAAACATCCATCTAGGTGTCTATATCTGGAACTAACTTTATGAAATTATTTAATCAATGCTTTGGGCTGTATGATCTATAGTATTGGAGTAGACATTTGCAAGGAACACTGGTGTGAAATTTTACAGGCACTCATGTTTTGTTAATCGTCTATTTCTGAAAATAATTCTGAAGGCTAGGAAAAGAGGTTTTGTTTAATAAGCAATCATGACTTCAGATATATGCTTGATCAGGTATTTCACTAATAATACAGTAGGTGCATCTGAAATGATGTGTGATGATGGCGCATGTTGAGTCAATATGATTAGCATAAAGCAATGTATCGTTATGTCCGGTTCTGTTTTGATTTCACTTTTAGATTAGAGCATATCAACTTTTTAGTATCTATAATGACGTGACCATCCTGTAAGTGAAAACAATGTCTATTCAAACTAGTTAAAGAATCACTGTAATATATTGTATGTACAAATCGCATACTGAATGTCCAGTTTGTACATTTCAATGAGTTTTTTCTGCAATAACATATCAGTCAATAAAATCCTTTTAATTTTCACATATTACTGGCACCATATGTCTCCATCCATCTGCGCAGTGTTTGTTATGAAAAAGGGGGGTAGGAGAGAAGTATACAGTATTTCAGTTTAGATGGCCAACATTGCCATAATGTGCCTTTTTTTCAGAAGCGTATCACTTCCACAAAGACATGCTGTCAGCTGATATTTACATACAATTTCCAAATAAGATGCTAGGTTGTGAAGTGTGTGGTGTTGGGATGTGGAAATGGGAAGTATCCCTCAATTAGATCTGCTGGTGTGGAGCCCTGCACCCATGTAGAGCCAGCAGATCTCCATATACGGTGCAAGGATCCATGTTGCCAGATCCGGTTACAGGATCAGGACCCATGTTGGTCTGCAGGGTGTGGCTTCAAATGATCCATGCTAATTTGTATTCTTTTTGTGGGAGGCTTATTTTTGCTTTTAATTATTGAACACATTCATTACTGAGGAGAGTGAGGGATGAGCCTGGCACTGCAAGCTTTAACATTCTGCTGATTTCTCAGTCTTGACCCCTTGAGCTGCATCATCCTTGTTTCATTCTATTGCCAGGTCTCTCTTGAGAAGAGCTACTTAATTATGCCCGATTGTTGGATGGCTTTGCAGTGCTAGACAATGGAGACTACGCTGAATCCTGCATGCTAGCCTGTAATTTCCATCCCCTGTACTCCGGTGCTCCAGTCTAGATGCCTAAACTTACTACTGATTGGCATCAGTCTCCACAGGTGAAAATCTAATGCACTGACATAGCCATTTTGGCCTAGATAATACAGCATTTGAAAAATGTACATGGATGTGACACACATCTGCAGGGGTGCTGGGGGTGCTGAGAGCCATTGAACCAAACTGTAAATCCTGTATATAATGGAAACCACTTCAAGCCAAGGGGTGCTGCAGGAAACCCCTTCTCCCCCCACACTCCTAGTCCAGCACTTGTGCACATCTGGTCTTTCATCTTAATAGTTTCCTAACTTTATTAATAATAATTTCCTAACTTCGGTATTATTTGTGTTGTGGTAGCACCCAGTGTCTCATTTTTCTAGCCACTGTGCAAGCAGAGTGAAAAACGGTTTGTGTGCTCAAGAGCTTACAAACTAAACACACGAGAGAGAAAGCGTGGGGAAAGGAATATAATGCATGTGCTTGAGCATAGACTGAAGAACTGATTTTTCATAAGTGAGCAATGGCTTTGCATGATTTTCCTTCCTCTTCTGTGTCAAGTAGAGCATTTTCCTTCCCCCTGTAACTTCCTCTATTTTCTCCTACACCTCTACCTCAATATAACGCTGTCCTCGGGAGCCAAAAAATCTTACCGCATTATAGGTGAAACAGTGTTATATCGAACTTGCTTTGATCCGCTGGAGTGCGCAGCCGAGCACTGCTTTACCGCATTATATCTGAATTTGTGTTATATCTGGTAGCGTTATATCGAGGTAGAGGTGTATTCCTCTCCAGTCAGGGGATCGCCTGCCTAGTTACTTCACTCTTTGCACCGTTTCCCAAAACTTTCCTGGGCACTTTTGTGATGGATCTTGTATGCAGTTGGACTGGCACCTTACCTGTGATGTGGAAACTTTCCTCCTGCTGCTGTCTCACTGCCGTACTGCCTCTGATTAGCACTCCGTGCTTTACAGAGCAAAGAGGTCAGCCAGGAGAAGAGAGCCACCTGCTTACTGAGCTAAATAACAATTCTTACTTCCTCCTAGGAAGAGGTGTGGCTTGGGGTTTGCCCAGTGGAGAACGGTTTTCTTACTTTTCAAAACAACCACACCTGAAGAACCCCTGTGAAATATCAGGTACAATCCACGCTTCCATTTTCCACTCTCCATCATGGTGACGGGCGTGGAGAAGAATTTCAGATGTACATTGAGGCCTCAGTTGTACAAACCCTTCTGCATAGGCTTAAATTAGCGCATTGACTTCAGTCAGACTACTCATGCTTAAAATTAAGTATGCGTACAACTGTTTGCAGAGTCAGGGCCTGAGTGAGTGCAAGAGCTGCTGTATTGGATGTTAGATTTTTGTCATGATATCTTAACAAAAAACAGTCTCGTGCCTGGAAACTCTACAGCTGCATCCTATTCAAACGCTCCTCCCCAAACAAAAGACTTATTGTACATGAGCTGTTCTTGGAACTTGCTGAGATTTCCTTCAAGATGAATTTAAGAGTATTTTTTTGTAGGCCGCTGAAGCGTCTTGTAGTAAACAGCCTGCTGTCATGCCCATTGCTAGAGTACAGATGCAGATTTATTAAGCAGAGCGGATGTTGCCCTCGGAGTCAGCCCTCGCTAAGAAAGGTCTGTTTGGAAAGACCTTTTCAAAAATAAATCCGCTTGTTGGGTTTAGCTGCTCCTTGGTGTTAATCAACTAAATCTTGCTAAAGAACAAACTTGAAAGGAGTCACCAAAAAATCAAATCTTTTGGTGATAGTATGCTCAGCTTTCCTTGGAGGAAAACCGACGCCCATACTGTTCTCATGCAGTATTTTGGAATTTTGTACAGAAAATGACTCACTCATTACCTCCCCCACCTAGTGTCTCAGGCATATCTTTTATTGGACCAAACCCCCCACCTTGTGTCTCTAACGTCCTGGGAGTGACACAGCTACAACTACGCTGCATACATTTGTGTCCTTTCTGTACCACTAGAAGTGGACGTGTGAAATCTGAACTTTTAAGAGAGTTGCCAACAAGCGTTCACGTTGAGCAAGCAATTGCACACTCAGGTGTGACCTCTGAAACTGCCTAGCCGGTGCCCCCCGTGAGTTAGTTGTACATCGCATAACTAAGTATGCCACGTCTGCTGGAACTGTGAGCCCTGACCATGCTTTTCAGCAAATGGCAGCAGCTTATTTTTCACATTCCAGAGCAGATTTTCAGCTCGGTGTGGCGTTCCTCACTGTTTTCCACAAGGCAAACACACGCACATCGAAAACATGGCACCAGATTCTCCACCCTGAAGTGGTTCCTTTGCACCACTCAGGCCAGCTGAGAATTCCCTCAGCAGGAGGACTTCTCAATTGCTGCATATCCAGCATAGCTGGACCCTGTGCCAGCTGCCCTACCTACCCACGCCAGTATGGGGGGGGGGGGCCTGTTGGGAGCGTGAGGAGGCAAAGTAACTGATTGGCCAGTTCTCAGATGGCATATGATCTATAAGGGACCATAGCCAGATGGTGTTCTAGTTAATGTAGGTCAGGCCACAGCCAGGGAGCGCATGCCTTTCCCTCCATGTCATGCACCAAGCAAATCTGACCCTTCTGCGGGAGAGTAAGCTACTCAAGCTGAATGAAAGTAGCAGAATGGGGCCCTTAGTGATTTGAAGAAACATACATTATAACTAACCACAGACCAATAATTTATTATTAACTTGCCAATAAATTCTTAACATGGGTTTTCAGTTGTGATAGGCCAGTGAATGAATCCGTTGACTTTTCCACCTTGGAAAAGATTATCGGATAAAAGGCGTCC